ATTATAATCAAATTTTCTCCCATTATTTTTTACATGAGAATGGTATAGAAGTATATGAATCTTCATTTCCGTACAGGCAATAATTCCGAAAATTTTACCATAAATTTGCCAATACTTATATAGTTGACAGTGGAATTTTCACACTGAATGGTTGAGTCTAACAAGGGAGGTACCCGAAGTGATTAACCGCTTATGAATCGAGACTATGTGCATCATATAATGCCTATTGAGCTATGAATACCCTGAAAAGAGTACGGGCCCATAGCTTATTGCTGATAAGATACTGCATTTTGACGGTATTTTTTAACAGAATGTCGTGGTTCCCCTCAGGAACACTAGGAAAACTTATTTTCGAATTTCGACTTGAAACTTTGCATAGGTATAAGCCTTAATGAGAATAGTTTGTGATAAAAGTTTCAAATCTTTTGGTTGTTCTTATCCTGAAATACAAACATCGAATCTGTCCATGTGTATGAGCGATACAAAAGATAACGGGTGGGGCAAAAGTTTTGCATTAATTTTGTTTTTAATATAACTATGCAACGGAAAGTCGAAGAGACTTGATTTTTTTTTGTTAGAAAGAGCAAAGTGTCTACTACAAAACTATATAAAAGAGTTTGATTGGAAACGTTTTTTGAAGGCGATAGAGGTCTTAGAACTATAGGCCCCGAAAAACTGTTCCGCAACTTTTTTGAATTTAGAAAAAATTTTTTATAGTTAGATAGGTTATCTTTTTATTCGTTCGATTCGTCTTTTATTAATAGCTCAGGCAATACTTTCGCATTAGATTTGTTTCTGTTACAGGTTCGCCACAAAATATTTTTCACGCCTGGTTTATATATTTCATTAAAAAAAGAGCAATAACTAAAATACAAAAAACATTTAATGACAAGTTGTAAAAACACCTTCACGCCACATTTTTCGAAGTTTACTACGAATATCAAACATCATATCTTGTATCATTCTTTTATCAAGTTCTTTAATTTTTTCTCTTATACGACGAGCAAGTTGATCGAGACTTTTTGCTTCATAATTTTGTGCGTACACCTTTTGCTTCAGTATACCCCATAAGTCTTCAACTGGTCTTACTTGAGGTATATTAGGAAGATTTTTTTCTCTTGGTACAAAAGGTATATTTTTTTCTTGTAATGTATGTAAAACTTGTGGTGTATAATGGGCCTTTGCTAAATCAGGCCAGAAAATGAATTCCTGTTGCGGATGGTACTGGTCAATAAAAGGAATTAAACGACGTTGTATACATTGTTTTAAATAAACATCACCAGTTACAGCATTCTTGCTTTTGTGTATATATGGCTTTGAACATCCTTTAGCAGATATTGCTAACCATACCAAAACTTTGGGTTCAGATTTTTGATATTGTTTATACTTTATATTGGCTGGTGCAGTAGATGGATCACTTGTATAATACAATGAGTTTCCAGGTATATCAACTCCACTTAAACTGAAGTATTTCTCATCATCCATAATAATCAAACAATTTTTTGGAATTCGACGATACAAATAACCACAGTTTTTTTTGTGCACGTTTTTCCTGTTCTTTAACATATTTCGGTGCTTTTATACGTTTTCTTGGTCGAATATTTGTTCGTTGTTTTAAATTTCTACCAATTGTTCTATAATGAACATTATAATGTATTGATAAGACTCGATGACTAATACCACTCTTGTTATTCAAATTACGTGCCATTGTTTTCATTTGTTTGTCGCTGAGTTTTCGTGGACGACCAGATCTTGGTAAATCTTTTGTTGTTTTAAATTGTAAATATCTTTGGATAATTCGATATATAGTTGAATAACAACAACCTTCTCTTTTAAAAAAATTCCATGTGGTTTTCAGATCACCACTTGCAGCATCATGATAAAAATTTACGACACGTAATCTAAGTGTTTCTCGTTCGTCCTTCTTCATTTCGAACAGAAACACGTATGACAATTGAACCAATATAGGTACATATACTATGAATCATTCTCTGTCTAATAGAAAAGATTGAACAGTCTACGATATTCCCACGTGGTATAGAAAGAAAAAGGAAATCAATGAACAACGATTGCCACATCCATTCATGATAGAAATTTTTTTTTCTAAATTCAAAAAAGTTGCGGAACAGTTTTTCGGGGTCTATAGTTCTAAGACCTCTATCGCCTTCAAAAAACGTTTCCAATCAAACTCTTTTATATAGTTTTGTAGTAGACACTTTGCTCTTTCTAACAAAAAAAAAATCAAGTCTCTACGACTTTCCGTTGCAGAGTTATATTAAAAACAAAATTAATGCAAAACTTGTGCCCCACCCGTTACGCTTTGACAATAGCCGTATTTCAGGATAGAAACAAACAAAAAATTTGAAACTTTCACCATAAACTATTCTGATTAAAGCTTATATCTGTGCAAAGTTTCAAGCCGAGATTCGAAAATAAGTTTTCCTAGTGTTCCTGAAGGGAACCACGACATTCTGTTAAAAAATGTCGTAAAAATGCAGTATCTTATCAGCAATAAGCTATGGGTCCGAACTCTCTTCAGGGTATTCATAGCTCAATAGGCATTATATGATGCACATAGTCTTGACCCAAAAGCGGTTAATTACTTCAGGTACCTTCCTCCTAAGTCGAGATTTAAATCAAATACTGCTAGAGTTGCAATATGCTGGTTTCGTGGGCAAAGAGAATATACGTCATAACTTAACGAAAACATGTCAGTTCGTAGTGAGCATTTTACTGAAGATAGATTAAGAGTCGGGCTTTCCAATGATGGTTCAAGTGGCATTGTATCTCTTTTATAGTCCAAGATAACACAATAAGAAAAAATTCTTGGTGTTTTCCTCATATCTCAGCCTCAGTAAGAAGATAGGACTTGAGCTTTTGTCCGCAATCAGGACTTACCAAGTCCTTACTGTGGTGAAAGCTTCAAACCAAACTACCCTGATTTAGATAGTTTTCGCCTATGTCCGGGACTTTTGTCCACTACTATATATATTCAGATTTTATATTGAGATGTACGTGGAACGTCACAGTATTTTGTGCTGTTCAGAGATAGAAATCTTATATTGGCCAAAGACAGATCGAACTGGTAATTTCTCTATATAAAAAAATGTGGATAATCATTGGCAATCATTAGCAATCATCGGTAATCATTGGTAATCATTGGTAATCATCGGCAATCAAAGTAAATCAAAGCAGTCACAACTTCAGCTTTTCCCCCTTGCTTTCAATACTTTTCAATCGTTGCGCTATTCACTGCATATATGCTCCTTGTTCTCTTTTCATTCCGAGAGATTTCTGCACCAAACAGATGCAAGGAGAAATCATTAAGAAGGAAGAGAGAAGAGAAGAGAACAGTCGAGAATACTCTCAGTGGATATTGCGCGGTGTAAAGGATACAACTCCCTTGACATTACACACTTTTTGAATGGTATATATAGTTGGTGTAAAAGTCATATAACCGGATGTATAATGTGCGTTAATCTTAAGAGAGAAATAAAATCACGTACAACATGTAACGGAATTGAGCTTGAAGAAATAATAAATATGGTAAAGCTTTAAAATGCGTGATCCAACAACGCGGTCATCAATCTTTCTGCATCAAATCCTCCGATTATTCTCAATTTTTCATTACACTCACTTTGAAATTTTCCAAAACTCGGTCGTAGAAAACACTTCTAGTCGCTTCTTGATATCTCTCAGACAGATAAAAGCGAAAAAAAAAATCATAGGCAACAAAATTGCCTTATTGTAACATGACCCTTTTCACATTTAATTATAATGCGCTCGCGTAGGTAAATATCAGTGTATATTTTTTCATAATAACGGCAGCACATGCAATTAAAAGCCAATAAAAAAAAGAATATTGAAAGAACGTAGTGGATGCGACGATGAGTACACTGATGAGAAAACACTACCCACCTGATGAAAAGATCCTGCTTCGCTGATTCACGTAAACATGTTTAAGGAGGAAAAAACCGAGTAATTTCGTCAACGATAAATATGAAGCAAAATTGATTGCAAACATACAGAACAAACTCGCACACTCCAATATTACTCAATATGTAAGTACGTTTAATTTCTAACATTATTAGACTAGTGATCAAATTCAAGCGGAAAGTTCAGAGTAACTACTAACGAGAAAACGTGACGGAATATAGAAATGGGGCATTTCAATTGCCAGAAATCTATTTCAAGAAAGTTCGATTGAACATATTGAGCACATGCGATTGATAATCTTGATTGCCACAGCTCTTCCGCATAAAATAGTCCAACCACAAGTCATACCAAACAGAATATCCTTTGAAATGTCTAGGCTTTACTGAGAATTATAGTTATACACAACACGAATCTCGTTTTTAAGTGGCTAAATATAGCAAGGATGGTGGGTGTGGGTGTATGGGTGCAGGGTGAGGGTTTTGGTATGGAATGAGGGTGTTGCTGTGAGTGTGGCGTGAGGATTAATGTAAGGATGGGGTGTGGATGTGGGTATTATTATCTTCCTCACAACCACTCCACCCCAACACCCACATCTATCTTACACTCACAAACCTACATCCACATCCACATCCACACTCATACCCACAATCACACCCACACACCCACACCCACATCCACTCATGCCCATTTAAAAAAATCCGACATTAGTAAAGGGTCTGTTACCGGTTATTTGTTAACTTAACTGAGCGGGAACGATAATTTTCCACCCCTAGATGAATGTTGTACTTTTTTCTTTCATCTCACACATGACAATTCCTATTTGCGTCACTTTTAAAGAACAGAAAAGAAGAAAATATACTCTATATTTGTATGAAAACAAATATTGATATCTTTATTACTACTAGTCACGCATCGCTCGCTTTGAGTGTAACTGTTGCGCTGATGAGTGTCCAACCGATACCAATAGCTACCGTGACAATGGATAACATCCTTGTTATTGATGAAGCAATTCAGCAACAATTCGAAGAAATCGCCGTTCGTCGTCTTATTCGAAAGCTCGATTGGCGAATCATTCCATTTATGGTTCTCATCGAAGTGATATCATACATGAACCGAATCAGTACTGGTAGGCAGCTTTGATTTGAATCATCCATTGTTGATGATAGTCTTCTAGGTCATGTAAAACTGATGGGCATCGAAAGCGATCTGAATTTGTCACAATCTGAGAGTAATTGGCATATTTCACTCTTTTTTCTGGCTTATGTAAGAAAATTACATTATTGAACGGCAATATTTTTGAATGGATACTTTGTTTTAGTTGATCTTTGCAATTCCTAGCAATATTCTCATGCGCTATCTTGGCGCGACTCGGCATCTGTCATTGAGTATGCTTGCATGGGGTAGTATCACTGTTGGTTTGGCTTTCGTAAGAAATGCTCAACAACTACTGTCTGTTAAATTTCTTCTCGTAAGTGAATTGAATCTCTATGAATAACATAGCATTTTTGACTTTTTGTCGAAGGGCATGACTCAAGCAGGCTTTTTTCCCAGTATTGTCATATATTTCTCATTATGGTATTGTAAAAGAGACCAAACTATGAGAATAGCTATTCTTTTTGGAGCTGCCATCATTTCCAGTGCTTTGAGTGGTATTCTGGTATGTACTCATCGATTTCATAAGATATGTGATACTTATTATAAATTTAGGCGTATGGTTTCACACACCTGGACGGTACTCGTGGTCTCAATAGTTGGCAGTGGACGTTTTTGCTTGAAGGTTTGCCAATGATTCCTCTCGGTATCATAACCTGTCTTTTTCTCAGCAATATACCCGATACTGTACAATGTAAGAGTTCATTGGATAGTAAGAAATATTCTTAACTGGTTTATTTTAAAAATTAAGGGTTGAATAATAGTGAAAAATAGATTTTGACAAATCTTCTCCAACACGATGCAGGCATAGTCAATGGTGAAAATGTTCGACTTTCATGGCGACAAGCATTCTATGTTTTTGTCGATTGGCGAATCTATTTGTATGCACTGATTAATATTGGTATCTCGGGTGTTAACAAATATATAAATATGTATCTTCCGTTACTTGTCGAAGATATGGGTTATTTGAAAGCTGAAGTACATTTAATGACAGCACCACCTTACGTTTGCGCATTTGTGTGTTGTTTATTGGTTAGTTATTCGTCGTCGCGCAGGAATGAGCATGGCTTTCATCTCATGTTTTGTCTATTTATTACTCTAGTCGGCTTTATTCTTATGCTCACTCTGATCGATCGAGGCCAAATAGCACTATATGTCAGTGTTTGCATTGTTTGCTGTGGCATATTCTCGGCATATCCTTTGTTAATCTCTTGGTTAACAAATAATGTCGGCGGGTATACCAAGAGATCCATCGCTATCGGCTTTATTGTGGGTATTGGTCAAATTGGTGGAGTTATATCGCCTTTTGTCAGACTGTTGCAACTATTGCTAAATTCACAATTAATTTTCTTTCTTTTTAGATCCATCATGATGAGTCAACCAATCGACGTAACGATTTTATTTGTATTGGAATAGTAGCGGCTAGTTTGGTTCTTGTCATTATTTTACGCATCTGTTTGATGTTGGAGAATCGTTGGCGAGATAATTTATCACAAGAGAAGTATGCTCGTTTAGCAGCTATCAAAGAGCCTTGCGATTGGGTTAGGTCATGTCTGATTAACTTAACTTTTTTTCTATTACTGTTCCCTTGTAGCATCCTCAAGTACGGTACGTCTTGTGACATGTCAGCTTGTTCTCATGGCTGACAAATTGCACTCATTTTGCTAATCAAATGATTTTGCGAGTAATCTTGAAATTTGTCGAACAATAAGTTAACGTCGTGTTGTAAACGTATTTCAAAATAAACCCTTCAAGAAATGACATATCACATTAGATCAATAGGGAGTGCTGTAACGAGCAAATAGCAAGACAGTCTACCAGTCGTTCCAATAGTTATGTAAGAAAAACAGCAAAAACTCTTGATTTTAATCGATTTTTTGCTGATTAAAAATCGCCCAGAACTGATATTATTGTAGGTTTTTACAAGGACTGTGTTGCGGGCTTTTTCTAACTACAAGAAAGAAAAAACATGATATTGGATGAAAAAATAACGAGGAAAATAAGTATGCCGTTGTTCGATTACGTTTTCTATCATGTCCCTAGTATTCGTGATATTGTATGAAAGGTTAAATTGTCATACATTCTACGCAGTGTAGTTGATAATATATGAAAATGATCTTATATAGATAGGTTTTAAGAGCGGCATCTGCCTTTTATCAATAAAAAATTTTCTAAAAAGTACTAGAGTAATGTTTGAATGATAATTGCTCCACTCATTGATTCTTAGGTTTAGTCGATTTATATATCAAAATGAGATATAATTATTTAAGAAAAGATGGTCTGTACGAATTTAGTGGAAACAAAAGAACCAAAAACAGTCGGAAGAAAAAGATTGAAATATTATTAATGCTAATTCACCATACACTATTCGCGTATAAAGTGACAGATATGATGTTATCGCAGATTATTCATGTGGTATTGTTGATATGGGAGAGAAGTTGCCGCTATGTTACCAAGTAGTTGATAACGGCATCGCTATCCGTTACCGCATAACAGTAACTGTGCGTCACCCACTAATACCGACAGGTAATGCAAAATTTCTGACTTCATAAAAGAAAGGCTATTTCCCAAATAAAGTTTGATCAACGCTTTCTGAAGTGGACGAATCTCAACTGCACCATAGTTTTTCGAATTTTGTGGACTTAAGAATCTCACTAGGGGCAGGCTATTTTTCTGGAAATCTTCTCTTCACTGTTATAAGGACAAAATATGGTATTGTTCGGGCCATATGAAAGAGGACTCCTTCTAACTCACTGCTTGGTGAAGATAATACTGTGTTTTGTCTTTACAATAGTGGAGAAATCGCTTGCTAAAATCTAATTGGCTAGAAGATTTTTCGTCTGGAACAATCATATTTCAACAAGGATTTTGTCACTATTATAAAGACTAAACATGATGTTGTCCGCGCCAACGAAAAGCTTTGGAGGAGTCCTCTTTCAAATGGTCCAAACAATGGCATGTTTGATCCTTACAATAGTGGAAAAAGCCTTGCTAACATATGATTGGTCGAGACGAGAAAGCTTCTAGCCAATCAGATTTTAGCAACCGTTTTCTCCACTATTGTAAGGACAAAACACAGTATTATCTGCACCAAGCAGAGAGAGTTAGAAGAAGTTCTCTTTTATATGGTCCAAACAATACCATGTTTTGTCCTAACAACAGTGAATAAAAAGCTTTCTGGAAAAATAGTCTGTCCCTAGTGAGATTCTTAAGTCCACAAAATTCGAAGAACCACCTGACGATTGAGGTTCCTTGACCTCAACAGTCTTTGATCAAACTTTATAAAAATATCACTATTTTTGAGAAACAGTCTTACTTTTATAAAGTCAGAAATTTTCTGTTACCCATGAGCAGTTACTTGGTAACGCAACTAGGCGGAAACGGTAAGTTTTCTTGCCTAGTTGTTGAAAGGATGAATTGAAGTTGTACTAATAGCGCTTGTGATAATTTTTTCTTTCGAAATTTTTTATGTTCGGTGTTTTTTTCCTATCAAAGGAGGTGAGCGCATAAGAAGTCAAACAGACACATCAGTACTTTTCTCGATCATCTCTGCCGAATCATATATCTATGGAAAGAGCACATTGAGATTGACATTTTGACACTAGTTTTAAGATGTTTTAATCGGATATTGAAAGGTAAAAGCTATTAACTAAAGATACATTTTTAGTCATTAATTTAGTGATTGATAATATCATCATGGATTTCGTTTCAGAATAAATAGACGACACAAAATAGTTCTGAATTTATTTATTTCATAATTCTTTGATAGGGCTTCAATCCCATATATGAATTGCCGACTGAGTAGTTAATTCTGTGACATGTAGGTCTAACATACTAGTGAGCACTATTTATATAAATCCTATATTTATCATTTACTTTTATATTTTTACAAATATTTGAAAGTGAAAATTGGAATATGCAAACTATTGGTATTGCTCATTTGATAGTTCTTTTCAAGAGCTACCAAACTGTATGTTTCCAAAACACTAAATACACTGGCCACTCCACTCTTAAAAATTTTCGTATTGCAGGAAACCAACCAAAGAGGTTTGCGAGCGCTCGGAAACCTTTTTGGCTGGTTTCCTACAATAGGGAAATTTTTAAGAGTGTACTTGTTCAACCTGAGTTATATCAATAGTGCTCGCCAGTATCTTAGACCTACATGTCACGAAATTAACTAATCAATCGATAATTCATATATGGAATTGAACCATCATCAAAGAGCGGGGTGTGAGTGTGGGTGAGGGTAAGGAACTTTGTCTCTTCATCCACACCCAGATCCACACCGCACACCCATACGTATCCACACCCACCCTCCTGCGTAAAAAAAAAGATGGTTCTGCTTCTGTATATCCAGGACTGATGTACAAGAAAATAGCTAACTTGCAGGGCAGGTCCCCAGGACCTTCTCTGTAATATATACTTTAAAAGTTCTTATTCTTTGAGTTAATTATGTTTTGATGTTTATTTTCTTTTGTTTCATTAAAAGATATTCTGTGGAGATAAAAAATAATGTTATCGATAATCTGGTTGAAAACAATGTACATTGAGCAAAAATCTTTCTGGACCTTTTCGGATTTCAAAAATGAACTTCCAGAATTTTCCGACTTCTGGCATTTGAATTTTGGATTTTTTATTCTCATATCTGGTAATCTTGTTTCAGAACTATCTTATCCTAAGACTGAGTCCACCGTGAAAAGATCGATTATTCAATTAATGACTAAAAAATTAGTTACTTCATTAACGGCTTGTGTCTTCGAAAATTCGATAAAAATCTGATAAAAGTAGTGTTAAAATGACAGTCTCAACATGTTCTTTCCATTGATATATGATTCAAAGGGGTTAAGTCAGAAAAGTACTAGTGAGCTGATTTGACTTCTTCGACGCCCTCAGCCTTTGTATGTAACATTTGAATTGTTTACAGAGATTTGTATCAACTACACTTATCGGGTTCTGCAACAATTGGCGAAGAGCGAGAATTCCCTTTTTAAATTAGGCCTAACACAGATACGTTTCGGAGTCGATTGTCTATAGAAGTCGTTTGAAAGTGGTGTCATCTAAAAACGGCTATTTTTAACTTTTATCTTCATCCTCATCATTTGGTACCATCATTTGATCAAAACTTTTTCTCATATAAAGAAGTTTTGAGATCACATGGACTGAGGTCACAAGGCTTTCTTATTTGTCCAACAGATTTTTTCGTACAAGCTGTTCAATAGTAGTATCAAAGATTAGAAGTTTTACGTACAGAAAAATCTAGATCTATCTCGCCACTCAGTTCCTTATATTCTGACGATTTTCTGATCTGTTACTAATGAAATACGCCGAAACAGAATGGAATCAACTAGTTCCCAAGAAGGAGAATGATCTGAAAAAAATCGATTAAATAGACTAAACATTTCGTCTCGTCGGATTGCAGCTTGATTTATTGAGAGCCATCATGATTTGTTATAAGTGAACAATTGCCATCCTCTGACTTGAAATACTTGAAAATACACTTACTGGCAATAATAAAATGAGTTGAAGAGGAAGAAGATTTTTCGTTATCAGCGGTCATCTGTCATCAAGAGAAAAATTACTTCTACCATAGCGCTGAAATCTTTTTTTACTTTATCAGTTTTATCGTTTTAAAAAATCTTATAGAAAAAATTACACTACTAATCATTCCGATGCTTCTTCCTTATTGCTACCTCGGTCCACTTTCTGACTGACTCCTTCCTTTTCCTTTGGTGGTGACATCATTTCCGAGTAGTTAGTCACTTTCATGTAGTGATTGTTATAGATTTCTGTCACAGTAACATTAAAATTATCAGTATAGAAGTTACAAAACTGATTTTATTGGATATGGCATCGTCAGTAGAAGAATTAAATTGGAAGTTGTCACTTCAGAATGAATTCATATGGGAATGTCAAAGTAATATTGATCTATGGGATGCAACGCAAACCCCCGCATGGACACCTTATTCTAATGCTATATCATCAGACATTGAGGAAGCATATAAACGCGATTTGAAAGAGATATTTATTGACGAAAATTATCGTATTGATTTGAAACACTATGTACAAGAGCATATCAACAATCCACACCAACAACGACCCGTTCGACGACGACGATGTCGTCTTCCTTCAACTATTGTCATTGAAGGAGAAACGGAAGATGAATCATCACGTCGTGAACGATTTTCATCTCCTTTAGGATTAGTGTTCAGCCGCAGTGCAACAGGAGATACAACTTATTATGGTTCGCCATTTATTCATGCTTGGTTAGTGATATTTACTAAGGGAAAAATGAAGGTTACATTCGATACCATTTTTCCTGTTCTTGTAAAAGGCTTGATCGAGGAGGGACAATCCGATACAAAAAATAAAATGCACGAAATCGAGGCGATGTTGAACAAGATCGAAAAGGACACTCGTGAAAAGAGTTCGAAGAAGAGAATAAAAGAGCTGCAAAATTGCTGTGCTAAACTTTATACAAAAGCGTGTTATATATATTGTGTCGTAAACGCTGCATTGCGTGACGATGATCGAACGAAACTTCATACTCTTGGACCTTTCTGCTATCTCCTATTCAACTATATTGGTCGACGTTTCAAAGACAATTCTTCAATTCGTGATCGCCTTCGACGAGTTCTTCGCCCAAGCGAAATTCAATCGATGACTCTCTATCGCGGCGATCGTAATTCTGACAACGTTGTAGAAGAATATCGACGGGCAGCTGGAGACAGTTCCAAACAGTTTAAATGGCTTCCATTTGTTTCCACTTCATACGACCGAGCTGTGGCTGAAAGATTCGCAGTGGATGTTTTGTATATAATTGAAATGCTATCTTATTCATCGGATGAAGATCAATTTACAGATCTGACAACCATCGGTCATTACGCTGATGAAAAAGAAATTTTATTACTTCCAGGAGTGCAATTTCAAGTAAACAAATTAGAATTTGATAATGAAAAGGGACTACATTTGGTCTATATTAAAATTAATTCATCATACGTATCCAGATTGAAATGATTGTTGAGACCAGTTTCATTTGAACAGAAAAAAACAGTTCATGATATCAAAAATAAAGCAATTGAGATCTTTTTCGCTTAAACATGTTAATAAATCGATCTGTAAAAAATGATTGAATAATCCAAATAAAATAAGACGATCTTGTAATTTTTGGGGTGTGGGTGTGGGTGGGTGTGGGTGGGTGTGGGTGGGTGTGGGTGGGTG